CAAAGGGCGGGAAACAAAGACCTTTGATCCCGGTTGGTGGCACGAACCAGGACCAAAGGGGGGTATTCGTCCCGGTTGGTGCCACCAACGAGGACCAAAGGGGGGTATTCATACCGGTTCGTCCCACCAACCGGGACCAAAGGGGGGTATTCGTCCCGGTTGGTGCCACCAACGAGGACCAAAGGGGGGTATTCGTACCGGTTCGTCCCACCAACCGGGACCAAAGGGTGGCACAGCAGTGGTGTGGTGGGAGTTTAGTCCCACCTCGCTAGGTGAGAGAGCTCATCACCTGTTTATAAGCTGCGTTGCGGCTCAAGTGCTGAGCTCCTCTCTAATATGCAGGCAGTACTTGCCTACACTTGTCATTGCCATGTTGGGCCTGCGGGCCTGCATCATGGACCATGTACAGATGGGCTTCTAGTCGTATGCAGGCCGTGTGGCCCAGTAGGTGGCATTTTTTATTTTTTCTAGTATTTTTTTGTTTTTTGAATTATTTATTTTCTTTTGATTTTTGCTTTATTTTTTATTCTATTTTCTTCTAGGTCAGAATAATTATAAACTTTTGTTAGTACCATTAGTTTCCAAATTTGAATACTTTAAATTTGAATTCTTTGAAATTTGTATTGAATCACTAGTTTGTGGATAAATTCACTATAAAAATATATTTTGAGTGATTCTTTTTCCTGCTATTTAATATTACTATGTTTTATCATTATATTAAAAAACAGATTTTCCTATTTTAGTTTCTATCAAAAAATTCTTTATGAAAATTCTTTTTTCTACTAAAGTTTCTAAGAAAAAATTCTTTATGATAATTCTTTCTCCTTTTCATGTTTTGATAGTTCTTTCATGCTTTTAGTTGCATAAATTTTATATAATTTAAGTTTAAAAAATACTAGAGGTTTATAAAAGCTTTTTAGTTGATTTCTTTTACTATTAGAGTTTTATAAAAACTTTTTTAGTTGATTGTTTTTGCTATTGAAGAATATTATAGTTTTGTTTTAGTTGATCATAACATAATATTTTAATTGATTATTTTAAGTTCATTATTTTTGCTATTAGTTCATTCTTTTTGCACTAAATGACCCTGAAATTCAAAAGCACTACAAATGAACTCTGAAAAGGTTGAAAGTTGGCATGGTATCATCATTTCACTCACATAGCATGTGCTAAAAAGTTGAGAGGGTTACGGGAAAAACTGGATACACTTCATGTACAAAATGGACAATCTCTTTCGAAGTATCAGGGTTTTGGATGAAAATCCATATGTTACAAAGGGATTTCAATTTTTTTGAACTTATTTGAACTCCAGACTTTTTGTGTGTTCAAAATGCACCATTCAAAGCCACATCATCAATTTTCAACGATTTCTGACTTCATTTGTTATTTTTTCATGCATTTACTGATATTTTTAGCTAAATGACACTGAAATTAAAAAGCACTATATATGAACTCTAAAAAGGTTGAAAGTTGGCATGCTATCATCATTTCACCCACATAGCTTAAGCTAAAAAGTTGAGAGGGTTACGGGAAAAACTGGATGCACTGCGTGCATTATATATAATTATGTGTGTCAAAAACCATTACAGATTCACATGGATAGATAAGTGACCAAATTAATAGAAGTTCATCATCACATTAAAAACAAAGTACATACATAGTTCTCATTGAACAACATATAGCTCTCCAGAGCATCTAGTTAAACCATACATTGAAACTATGTAAAACCTTTCAATGCAACAACAAATGCAATCATAATCACAACCAAGGTAACAATTGATCCAACGGCATAATGATACCAAGCCTCGATATGAATGGCATATTTTCTAATCTTTCTAATCTTCAACTGCATTGCATCCTTCTTGATCTTGTGATCACCGATGACATCCGCAACATGTAACTCCAATATCATCTTCTCCTCCTCAATTTTTTTATTTTTTCCTTCAGGTAATTGTTTTCTTCTTCAACTAAATTTAACCTCTCGACAATAGGGTCGGTTGGAATTTCCGGTTCAACTACCTCCTACATAAATAAAATCTATGTCACATTGGTCGGCATAATTTTCATAAACAATAAATGAACCAAATAGTTAAAAAAGATAATATATACCACATCTGAATCATAGACAGGACGAGGGCGGATACCAAAACCATTGCACTATATAATAAGAAGCAATAATAAAAGTAAGAAAATTAGACAAGTATCTATCTAAAGTTACAATTCTTTTCTTTTCGAAAGAAGATAAGAACAAGAGGCTCACCACGGTGGTGCTGGCGACGAGATCGGCGCGGGCGATCGACGACGGTGAAGACGGGGACGGGACGTGATGGACCGCTGAACCTATGCAAATCTTGGGGAAAATGGAGCTTGGAGGTCGAGCTTCGAGAGGAGAAAGCTTAACTACTGTGGCTCGGGCATTTCATCGAACACCTCATGTGCATAGGAGGTGAGCTAGAGCACCCAAATGCCCTCTCCTCGCCGGCCAGAAAAAACAGAGCATTGTGGAGTGCTCTGCTGCGGCGATGGGGTATATATATGCAACTCATTTGTCCCGGTTCGTGGCTGGAACCGGGTCTAAAGCTCCCCCTTTTGTCCTGCTTCGAGCCACAAACCATGACCAATGTATGTGGGCCAGGAGCGAGGCCCATTGGTCCCGGTTTGTGCCAGGAACCAGGACAAATGTGTCCAGACGAACCGGGACCTATGCCCACGAGGCCCCGGCCGGCCCCCTGGGCTCACGAACCGGGACGTATGCCCCCATGGGTCCCAGTTCGTGGCCGAACCGGGACTCATGGGATGCCAAGCCCGAACCAAAGCCTTGTTTTCTACTAGTGTAGCAAGTGCTTAATAGAACTTGTTTATTTATAGCAAGTACTTAATAGAACTAGTTTATTTATAGTAAGTGCTTAATAGAATTAGTTTATTTATAGTAAGTGCTTAATAGAATTTATTTATTTATAGTAAGTGGTTAATATATTTTGTTAGAAATCAAGTTTGCCCCTGCCTCATCCCTGCAGTAGTCCCCATCGTCGACCCCTTAAGACCTCTAGGTGAGAATAGCCAAATGATAATGTGTTGTAAGTGTCGATGATGAAAATGCTAGTGCTATATAGTTGCCATGCCATTGATGTCGATGATGATGCATTCTAAATATAGAAGATGTCTTGGTCTTCTTGTTTGCAATGTGCCTCCGAGTGGCCTATGTTTTGCAAGAATGTTGATTCGTTTCCGTCCCCGCAAATTTCAGGCGCTCGATATGTCCTGTCTTTAGCAAAGGTCATGCCGAAATTTTTCATGAATTTTAGCATGACTTGTGCTACAATGTAGGGCATATCGAGTGCTTGTGATTTGGCAGAACAGGAATTCAATGATATTTCGACAAAATAAAGGGCATTTTTTCTATGTCATTGCTCGATATATGGAACGGGTTGACTTTAGGTCTGTTTCGGCTCCTTGTGTGTCTTTTAGTGAGGGCCACCATATATATATTTGAGAGAGTAAGAATGCCGACTGTTGTTGTGGGGGTCGGTTCTCCTTCTTCTCTTTGTGCTAGACCTTTGTTACGCACTAGGGGAAGAAGGAGTAGCGAGCATCATCGACGGTCGAAATGGTGAGGGAGTGTCCACCATATATGAGAGAAGAAGAATGCTGACTGTCGTGAGGGTCGATTCTCCTTCTTTCCCTTGTGTTAGATATTTGTAATGCACCAGGGAAAGGAGGAGTAGCGACCATCACCGATGGTCGCAATATCAGAGAGGGAGTGCCCACCATATACGTGAGATGAAAGTTTAGGAAGGAAGACTCGACAGACCTAAAGTCAACCCGTTAGATATTGAGTAATAGTGATATGTTTGTTGAGTTTCCTGGTAGTTGCCTTCGATTGATTTTCAATTAATGTTTCAACTATGAACATAGGAAATGTCCGACGACGAAAGGGAATTCGTTATGTGTGAATACTGCGAAGACGAGCGTGGCCTGTGCGACATGCCTCACCTAGTTGGTGGTAGGCGCTTCAGCATCAAGCTGGATGAGGCCTTCGAAGTGGATACAGTAAGTCACAACGACAAGTATTTTTTCGTAATTAAGCATGACTTCTGCTTCTTTTGCTTCAACTTATAATTTTAATTTTTTGCTATTCTACTACCGTATCCCTGCCATGTAAAAATTTATGTCTTGGATAAGATTGGTTTCAGTACTATGGAAAGTATGGAGGTAAAGAGAGTTCACTTGAGGACCGAGCATGGTTATACTTTTGCCGTAAAATTATACAATGCAGACACCTACACCTATTTTGAATGCAAAAATTGGAGAGCACTATGCAAGGCTTATGCATTTGAGCCCGATATGCTTATCACCTTTGATATTCGTCCGGAAGATGATATTGAAGGTAATATCGACATCTGAGTCAATGTGCAGACGCCTCCAGTTCTACCATTATGTGAGTTTCTCAACCATATTTATTAAGTAATTTATATTGTTTATTTAAAAATAGTTGACAACTAATTTCTATTGAAAACTTATTTCCATTCAAGAAAACCTGTCCAACGCTTGGTAGACAGCACATACTACTGTCCCGGGGCTGAATTAAACTGCGACGAGATAGATCATTCTATTTCATGGCTTGAGAATTTTGATACTGTTAAGACATTTTATTTTCCTGGACGTCAAGATATTAGTACTCAAAACGTGCGAGCACTAGTCTGCGTATTGAACTACGGTCACATCTATTTAGGAATGATGGTAAGATTTTTACTATTTGTCCTCAGAGCATCTTTTGCATATATTATTTTTTAAGCTAAACTTCATTACTAAGTATGTTACTACGATGTTCTTCAACAGGGACTCTCGATGAGTGTTGTGCCTCGTTGGATCGAGCCTAAAGGTCGCATGACATGAGTGCATTCATCACTTCTCGAAGCGATGAAGTCTTAATAGTCAAAGATTGAAGCAAAATTGTGAAGGATCGCAGCAGAGAAGTACTAGGGGGCAGCAATCAGAAGTGCATCCCACAATTAGGAGACAGGTTCATCTTCATGCTCCAATATGATGAAGCAGGAGTGCTACACATGTTTTATGCTATTTTACCTGAGAGAGAGAGCAGCAGGAGTGATTAGCTAGCTAGAATGAGTTTGAAGATGATGATGTGCTACACTATGACTATGATGATTAAATAGCTAGTGTTGCTGGTAATGACTATGATGATTATTAATTATTAGCTAGTGTTGGTGGTGATTATATAGCTACACTATGACTATGATGATTAAATAGTGTTGGTGGTAATGACTATGATGATTATTAGCTAGTATTGTTGGTGATGATATGATGCAAGAATTTTTATATTAATACGATGATGATGTTGATCATGATTAACATTATGATTTGTTATTATGATCATGATTAGTTATTATATCACTGGTGGAAGGAACGCGGATTAGATTCTTGTGAATGGATCAAAAGTGACCAAAAATTGAATTAGTAGGATCGTCGTCCTAATTCAACTTTTGATTCATCCAAATAAATATAATCCATGTTTCTTCCTCACAATGATATATTAATTCATCATGGACATAATGATATAACAACCTCTTAATTGGTACTGTATCAAAATTTGTATAACGACATATAAATACACTACAAATAAAAAAATAAAAAACAGAATAGTAGTAACGCTGGGCAGGAAAAAACGCTACTACTAGTTAGATTAGCAGTAGCGCTTGTATGAAGAGTGCTACTACTAAGTAGCTATAGCAGTAGCGCGGGAGGGAACACAGTAATGCTAAGTGTTAACTATAGCGTCGTATCAGTAGCCTCAGACCCACGCTACTGCTAGGCTTTTGCCTAGTAGTGAGAGTACATGCTTTCAGGGTGTGTCATTGAATTATCCATCATGCTGCTATTTTTCTATTCACAAATAGTTACTTCCAGATCATTTAGTTTGTTGTCTCTGCGATGTTAGGGCTCCTACGATTCAATAGATTTTCATAAGAATTTTGGAGGATTAGAATCCTTAGGAATTTTTCCTATATTGGTTGTTTGATTCATAGGATTGAATCCTATAGGAATTTTTCTAAATATTTTTTTACTACTTCCCATAGGATTTCTAGCATCTACTCAAACCTTTTTGAAAGAATCTTTTGTTTTCCCTGTGATGCAATCAAACAGCCCAAAAATCTTGTAGGGTTGAGATGAGCATGAAATTCCAATCCAAATGTTTTCCATATTTCTCTGTCCTTAGCATCCTGTGAATCAAAGACGCCCTTATAGTGTTAAAGTGAAATTGTTTTTTCAACATAAGTAGTGATGTTGTCCTTGCATTTTGCAGGCCACAACGGTAGTTGTAGTAAATGCCAAAGCTTTCCTCCTTTATAAGTGAATGGGCAAGAACTCAAAGAATGATTCATGAACAAAGGGTGGTGAACAATGACACATTGTATAGAGACTGGAGAGAGAATTTTGGGGTTAGTAAGGGGTGGAAGACAATTTGAATATGTTTTTGGCACTGCATTGATAGCCAGCACCTAGTTGTGAAAACTTGATGATGAATATGTTGTGTTATAGAATGAAGATGCAAGGATTGGGGGGGCATTAGAAAAAAAGATATGCCGTGAGATATTAAAGCGATATGTGGGATATTCCAATCCATTTTACAAACAGGTTGCCGGTTTGTGTAATAGCTGGGCCGCACTGGGTCTTAGCTGCCACCGTGCACACCACCAAGATTCCGCGACACAGTACCGTCGGTGTCTCGTTGCGTCCATGGCACAAATGTCAAATACAACAAAGAAGTTAAGCAACCTATATGAAACCATTTTTATTAGTTATCTGCAAATTGAGATTAATGGTTTTCAAGATAATCATTTTGATGTTTCAACGTTGCATTGACGTGTTGTCATGTTGACACCATAGTCTTCTTTTCCTCTCATACATGCATCCATACAGTGGCCTTAATGTGCTAGTGCTAACTATTAGGGTACTAAAATTTTCCATGTTCTCTCAATTTCTTGACTCATTTTTCTCCGACTCTCATGCAAGAAGACCAGACTAAATGGCAAATAAACTCTTTTTGGCCCCTCCTTGCTTCAACATTTTTATTTTGTGTCACCCTGGATTCTCCTCAAGTAGATTCAACATTATTATTAAAGGGAACCATGTCCAGTGTTTTTTTTAAAAAAAAATAGCAACAGAGCTGCTAAGATTCCATTGGCAGAAGAAGAAGCCGTTGGCTGAAACTGCTTGGTTTTTTTTAAGGGAAACCGGATGAAAACATGCACAAAGGGCACACAACAAGAAGCTAAAGTAGGTAAAAGCACGAGATGACATACAAAAATGCCAAAAGACCGAGAAAACACAAAATAAAAAAATAAGTAGAGACTACCTATGGGGGAATGAGCGTTGCTCGACTTTCGTCAAGAGAAACTGCACACTTGCAACGAGGGTGACGCCCCAGACAAACCACCACCACTAGACATGGAGCCGGCATACCGTCACCATGTGCATTTCTGCATGTCCTAGCTGAAGGGCAACCGGCATCACCGTGCCCCGGATAGAGCCAGCCCAAGTCACTGTGCCCAGGAGCCCATCTAGGGTGCCGCCACGACCAACACCACTACAGCTGCATCTTGCCTGCATCCTGCACCCCGCCAGCAACCACGAGGCGCTGCAAGAGGCTGCCACTGAAGCAGAACACCGAGCATCACCTCGTCCTCTCTCCAACAATGCTAGATTTAGGCCATGGTCACTTGGTCAAAGAAGGTGGGCGCCATGGCCCAAGGCAGCTAGTAGGAGGCCCGAGGCATCTCCTCGACCTAGTAGCACTGCTCCGTCGCAACTCTGTCGCTTGGGCCTAGATCTGGCCCGCAAGCCTGCAGCCACCGCAGCGCACCAGAGCGCCTAAACCCTAAACCCCCACCAGAGTGTTGTGCCTACCAAAACTGATTCATGCACGATCCTTGTGGCCGATGTATGCACGACATAGAAATACAGCGGCAGATATCCCGATGTATGCACGCATGTCCGGCTGGAATTAGTTTATCGTGCATGAGTTGTCTAAGATTTTGTCGTGTGTATAGCACGGCTCTGTGCCTACCCACCACCACGAGCCAAGCCACCATCCCAAACCATGTCCCTGTGAGTGGCGAGGACGAACCTTGGCTTATCCATCCGAGGCACATCATCGGATGGTGATTAGAGGGGTGGGGGTAGAGGAGAGATGCGGGTGACAGCGATTAGGTTTTTTGTTTCTGGCCGCTGTACCACGAGAAAGGGATAGTGTAGCTGGAGCAGCACGAGAAAAAGGACCACCACCGTAGTGCTACACATGGCCACTGATAACGGTGGCGTAATGGGCGCTATCAATGTCAACATCGGCACAGTTGCACCGTTTGCGTTGCATGGGGACACCAGTGTCATGATCAAAAAGGCAAGAGCTGTTCAGATGTTGCCATCACCCTAAATTTCCAAAGCCAACGAGGCAAAGATCATTATTCGTTACTTTAGGAATGCAAAATTGATCTAGTACTCTAGTAGAACAACAAAAATCATACGACAGAGAGTACAGAACGTCCTCTCATGCACGCTCAGACAACGTTGGAGGCTTGGGTACCGTTTGCCTCGTCACGTGTAGCAGCGGCGGCGCCACGAATCATCTCGTCGAAGAAATCCGTGAGGGCGATCTCGTACCCCGGCAGCTTGTTGAACCCCGGGAAGTAGTTGATGTCGATGATGAAGTACTGGCCCCCGGCCTTCCTCCCGCGGATCATGTCGAAGTTGAACAGCTGCAGCCCCAGCGCGCGCCTCAGCCCGCGCCCGACCTCCTCCACGAACCCCGGCGGCGGCATCTCGGCGTCGTCGCCCACGTCGTCGTCGGTGTCGGCGTGCACCGTCGTCAGGCTGGACACGTTGTGGAAGGGCACCGACGCGTCGCCCTCCAGGTGCAGCAGCCGCTCCGCCGGCACGTCCGGCAGGCTGCGCCGCCGCACGCACGTCGCGTGCCCGCCGATCACGTAGATCTTGAACAGCACGCCGCCGTGGTTCACGAACTCCTGGAGGACCAGCGGCGGGTGCAGCACCGAGAGGCCCGCGCGGCGGTAGATGAGCGACATGGCGTGGGAGCTGACGCTGCCGTCGACGTCCAGCGGCTTGGCGATGAGCGGGAACTGGAGCGCGCCCACGACGCCCGGGTCGGTGAGCGACGCGGCGTCGTCGATGGCGACCTGGCGGGGCGCGCCCAGGGAGCCCACGCGGACGGTGGCGTTGAGCTCGGAGACGACGTCGAGCATGGAGCCGCGGTCGAGCAGGCGGCCGATGGCGGCAGGAGGATCGACGACGGGGACGGCGGGGTGGGCCGCGGAGAAGGCCTCCAGCTGCGCGCGCCACGCCTCGTCGTAGAGCTTGTGGATGAGGAGGTGGAAGGGCCCCTGGTCGACGAGGGGGCGGGAGGGGTCGACGGCGACGAGCCGCATGCCGCGCTCCGCTGCCAGGGCGACGAGCGACGGCTGGATGACGGTGTCCAGCTTGTCCGGCTGCATCGCGTAGCCGATGGTGTAGGTGTGCGGCGGAGATCGTGTCGGCGCCGGTGCCTCCTGCTCGGCCGCCATTCCTCCCATGGCTAGCAAGCTTATCTACACTCTGCTCTGCTCTGTGTCTTTGTTTTGTGCCTTTCCCCTGCTCACAGCACGCCTGGATTTATACTCATGGCGGGTTGGTAGGAAGGGCATATTCGTGACGGGCTGGCATACTTTTTCTGCTCATGAATTTCTTCTCGATCAAGCATACAATTATGTTCCTACGCGCCGAATGGGAATCGCGTAGGTGCTTTCGGCTAGTCGGCCGAGGGGTGATCGACATGGAGTTGGACTTCGCCCACCGCAACACATTCGCTAATCGAAAATCTCCGTTTACCCTGCGCTCACTTTTTCTAAGCACCGCTTTCAGTTGAAGAAAGAGAGCCTTGTTAGGCCAGGACCATAAAACGATCACGATATCTGTCTGTGAACACGCCTACAGGAACCGGCCATCTAACCATATCCATATACATATTAAATCAAATTTTAAAAAAAGAATGAGCTTAATGAAAACCTGGCGATTTTAATTTAAACCGGACCAATTGATTACTCCCTCCGTTCCAAAATAGATGACTCAACTTTATACTAACTTTAGTATACAAAGTTAGCTCATTTATTTTGGAACGGAGGGAACACATTTTAAACATATTTTAACTAAACCAAGGTTGAATAAGACTTTTTAACCTAATCTAAATGATCGCCCGTGGTGTCGAAGTCTGTGTCTCACGTCATGTCTTTTCCATGTCCAGCAAACTCACCGGCAGTGTAGCAATGGGAGGGGAAGAATAAGAGTGGCTTACCCAAGCCGTGGTTGCGTTCCATGTGCTACTCTTCATCGCCTGAGTTCGTCGTGTTGATGGCGTTGGATTTGATGGGCTTGCATCCTGGCCATGGCGGCAGGGCATGAACAATTGTGGTGGCATGGTCGACATGGAGCTGGCACTGTCCACGGTCTCCTACGCCTCCTCTTCGACCACCTCCGCTTCGATATATGTGAACATGGCGTCACTCACTATCAGCCCGCATGACGCGCTGACGCCATCGTTCGCAGCGGATCGCAAACGCCGCTAATGGATAGGTACAACGCCCGCTGCTCATTCAGAAAGTCTGGATCCTCCGCGACCATGCCAACGACGGACTCGTTGTTCGCTTTCTCGCCGGCGATTTCCACCTTCATGAACCTGTGCTCGCCGAGGAGCCGGAGATTGTAGCTTTGGTTCTCCCGCGCTTGCTGGGACACCGACACCGGCAGGATAGATATCCGAACCGGCCAACCAACAATGTATGTTGTCAATAACGTCAATTGTATCTGTATTTCCACCTGATCACTTGATCAAAATGTTTCCATATGCTCTCTGCTAAATCAATGAAGCCGGCCAATCTGGATCTTTAAAAAAAAACGTGAGTTGTTGCTTTCAGCCATATTACAGTTGGAGAAATCGATCAAATAAACGCCGACATTTCCTTGCTTAAAGAAGGTTGGTGAAGAGGGATAGGCAGATACAAAATACCCCTATATATTGCTAGTGGTGATCTAGCATCACCGCTAGTCGTTGTGCAGCTTCTCTGGCACTGACAGAATGAATCCCGGTGCCGTTCGAAAACAGAGCTTTGCGCATCAGTAGGCTAACTAGGAATGGAAGGCGTTAGGGAATGCAGCAATGAGACAATTGTTTGTAGCACATGTATCTCCATCGGCCATATCCACGGTGGATTTGATTGATCTGTTGAACGTTTTCTGCAGTGATCAAGCACGGACCACAAGAGCCTCCTCCAAATTTGATGCGTTACGTCACTTCATTGTCGACCTTCTTTCTGTTCGTTCTTTGCCTTAATTTTGCCGTGCGCTAGCGCATGGACTAGGTGATGCTAAAATGGCAGAATCAGATTTAGTAGGATACTAAATAGTCACATTATGGTGGCAACTTGTTCTCGAAAAGGAATATTATGGTTGAAGTTGGATCATTGGTTGTCCTAGTACGTACTGGAGTGTTACATACTGCGAAATAGTGTAATTTCTGTACAAATTTGTCCATAATTTTTTTAAACTATATTGTGTTTCTTCTTTTAGGGTAGTGCCAATACCCTCATTTGATTTTTCTTTAGGAAAACTTCTGTTTTCATTTTTCTCTTAGTTTTCTTATTTTGTACTTGAACTACTCGAACATCTTATATTTAGAAACGAAGAGAGTAGTCTATGTCTTTGTTTATGGAAAAGCAAAAGACCAGCTGAGTGATCGGAAAAATATGCCATTTGTCCAACTGAGGCTCCCTTTTGAGAAACCATAGAGAAATGATATGTCCTTGCTTCCATTGAGATTTACTGGCGAAATTATGGTTTGACACAGTTGCCGTGTATGGTTGCAGGCACTCTAACCATTTGAGTAGAGAAGCAATCGGTCAGATCAAAGCATGCAGTTTTCGAACAACTTAATTGGTGGCGAAACGCAAAGTAGCCCTCTCACTCTTAGGATGCGTATTTACCGACAGGCTTATGATATTTTATTTTGGTATAAAGGATGAATTTTATTGATTCAAAATGAAGCATCAAGTCGATGTAAATACAATGAACACACATTCGATCTGTGCATAGCTATGTGAGTTGCACACAGCCAATACCAACACATACAAAGAAAAAATAAACACGCCGGCAAAGAGCGTCACGTAAGACCAAAGTTATTCCTAAGCGAGAAAAAAGAGCAAACAAAATAGCGATCGGCAGACTAGAACGACAACCGTATCCACACCAACCATCTTTTGATACCACAAGGATAATAATGTTCTTCAATAGCAACGTCTTTAAGAAGGAAACGACGCTCAACCGTCATCCTCACCGGATCCAACCACCGGAGGCTAGATTTCAAGGTTTCACCTTGAAGAACAGGTCCAAGCATATTCAAGCAATGCCTTCAACAAGGTAACGACGCAAAAAATATCGCCGTTGACAGGTATAGCCCACTCGAATCAGACCTAAGTTTTTCACCCCGGAGCTCGAGACTGGGTACTCAAAAAGCACCACCAAATGGGAGTCAACCATGTGTTATCACCACCACTTTTCCACAATCCCGTCAACTACATGCGCCGGGCTAGAAACCCCATTGTTGCCACTTCACGACCATATCCTCTTCACCAGTCGCCGTTCATAGATTGCATCTCACCACCGAAGGCAAACTGGCCGGAGTGAGTGCCACCAAACCCACAATGGAGTCTTTCTGCTGCATCCTGCAACCTTGCTAGAACAAGCCACCGGCACTAGGCATTAGATCTATAGAGAAGAATCCTCACGAAGATGCATCGGTGGCACCACAATCTATAGCTCAAGTGAGATAACACCACCACATGCAGTAACTTGCTCCCCGTCGTAGGGAATAATTCCGAGGCCAGACCACCGCATGCATCCAAGGCGAGCGGCGTGTCCTCATCGACTCCCCATGGGCTTATGGTCTGATGGCAGAGTTTCAGATGTAAAAATATGTGTCGGATGTGAAAAACAATTGTACTGATCAGACCATGTAGTTGTTGAACTGAATTTAGCAGTAGATGTACTTATTTTTATCAAAAAGACTAGATTAGTTATTGGAACCGTCCAACCAATAATGTATGTTGCCAATAATGTCAATTACTGCTTGTAGCAATGGTACAATTGCAGAAATTTATCAAATAAACGACAACATCGGTTTACTTAAGTGAGTGGTGAAGAGAGATAGTCAGGTTCCCCTATATATTTGTCGTGACGTAGCATCAACACAAGTCTTGTGTGGCTGCTTCTTCACCAATGTGAACCTTGGTACAGTTACAAAATGCAGCTTGGTGTGACATTGAGAGGCTAATTAGGAATGGAAGGTGTTAGGAATGTAACGAATGAAGCAACGAGATAAAAAGTTGTAGCACATGTAGCTGTTGTGTTCACAGTGCAAGAGGTGTCTAGTGTGCTGGATCGTTGCTTTAAAATTTTGATGCACGGGACGGACACGCACCACGACAAACCTCCTTAAAATTGGATTTGTTCTACCGACATACAATGTCTTTCTCTATACTGTTCCGCTTGTCACATGCCTTAATGTTGCCATGTACGAATTAGGTAGGATGGTAAACTTCGTGGTGGTCAACTTGTTTTAGAAAACATTGTGGATGGCCAACTCACTTAAATTGTTAGGGAGCCTCTATTTATCAGTGAGTTCATTTTCTATTTGTCTCTAGGCCGAATATCTGGTCCAATTGTGCAACGACGGGTGTGATGCTCTGAATTTTTTATTCAGTTCCCAGTAATTCGATCAATTCCCTTTGATTATTGGATGCAATATATCTGCTGGCTCACTACCAATGTCAATTCCACACCTCCCACAGCCATGGGTTTCAGTGAAGGGAGACTTAACATACTCTATGTTGATTGGTTGATGGGCATGGGATTTCATATGGGAAGGAGAAAGGGAGTAGGCATGCCGAATTCTCAAAGATTTCTTCCTCAGGAACCAGGATAATTTAAGTGAGGAGAGGGAATTAGTTGCCCACCAAACCCATGAAGCTGGGAAAAACCTTGTGTCCCCTATTAGCATCATATCAAGGTTACCAGCTCAGGACCCCCTACCGAAATCTCCCGAAATCAACTTCGATAGTGCCAGGAGCAGCGCTGGTCGCAGATGAGTAAGAGGCGCACCCGCAGTTCTATGCCAACATCTAGCACGAGAGTAGTGGCTCCGAATGTATTCCATGCCGAGACATGGGTGGCCACCCGATAACCATGTCACTGGTCTAAGGTGGGAAGCCGTACCACCAGTCTGCTATTGTCTTTTTGCCCTAGCGAGAGTACTGGCAGATATGGACTATCGATCGATCTGTGATCGAGATACCGATTGAATACCGCTCCCTCCAGGGTGAAAATTCTTGTCCTGGTCCTTTATTGGTCTAGGTCAGCAACGACAGACTTGCGTTATTACCTTCTTGAAGGCAGTGCCTTCTTGTTGTGGTGCCGGTCTTCATTAGTTGGCCTCGGCAACGGATGAAAATCCTTGTCCCGACTGTCCCCGCCAGACATGATGACGGCGGCGTGAGGAAACTGATGTTGCTATGGAAGAAGTCAACTTCGTCATTGGTGTTCTTTAATATCTTGTAAAGTTTCGACCCTGGTTAACTTTGTTATGTTTTTTTCGAAAAGGGGGACTCTTCGGCCTCTACATCAGAATGATACATACGGCCATCTTATTAATCAAATAAAGAAGTGCCAACAAGATTTCATAGTCTTCAAAAATAATGAATAGCAAAGAAAGCTCACATAGAGCTAAAAAGAGGCTAGAAACACCGAAAAATGCCAATAGCGGCCGCGCTGCAGGCAGGCCGCTATCTCTGGGCGTCGCTTTCCCATATGGATCCGTGCTGCCAGTGTATACACCACGTATTTGATTTATTTTTGGCCCGTATTGGCCCAGCCATGGCCCACGCACATGCAGAAGGGACCTAGGCCTCAGAGGGAAAGCTGACATGTACTTGATGGGCGGCCTTCGTTTGGTACCTGTTCGGAGATGTGCGTGCATGCATGATTCGTAACAAGCGTTGGACATGGGCGACCACACGTTCAGCAAGTGATGACGTGGATCACTATCGTCCAGCCAACACACACTTTTCGCCCACATGTTTGTTACCAGGCACCAAGCATGTTTAACTGTTTCGACCATTTGACTTTGCTTGACACTTTTGACAGTATTACTAGCTAATTACAGATTCACAAAACAGTATCACAATCATGCCACGACATTTTTCATTTGTTCATCAAGTTAGAGAAAGTGGAACAAGTTTAGGCAGCATCATATGTTAGATCAGCGATTTTTCGCACAGAAAAAAGAATCGCCGTCATGTTCACGTTTGTATGTTTACTCTAACCAAAACAACCCAATTAGTGGCCCTGATCTACACGAGGTACAGGTTTCGTGGAACAGCACACATCCGTGCAGGCCGGGTCGCTTTCCCCTGAGACGTCTCGTCACGTAATTTACTACGCCCTCACATCACCCCTCGTCCTTGTCATCTACCTCCACCCACCTCAAGCAGAGGCAAGGCAAACACAGGTCTCTGTTCTTCGCCGCCCAAGGAGAATCCACTAGATGGACCAAGGCGGACGAAGAACCCCCTCGCCGTAGAGCTGGTCGACAGCGGCGAGGCTTGTCCTTCTCCGTCAGTCTAGCAGGGTAACATCCCAAGTAGGGCAAGAGGTACTCACCCGAATCACACCCCTAGCATTTAAATGTTCGATTGTAATGCTCGCTCGCCATTGTTCTTAGATCTTGCTTTCATTATCTAGGTTTTTCATTCAAGGGTGGATTAGTCGTAGAGGGCGAAGATGTCTGACTTATTTAGCGGGATCCAAGCAGCTATGGTTATCAATTGAGTAGAGAATAGTGAGCAGTCACCTGAAGATTGGAACAGCGACTGTGATGGATCCGGTGGTTCAACAGGTTTGACTGGCACCCCGTGCTTCACGTCCAGGCTTTCTTTGCTAAAAGTTGGATCGGTCATAGGCCAGTTTAGTGATTTTAAGCGGCAGTTAGTCAGGGGAACCGGTTTTGATGGAATGTTAGAGCTTAAATCATGGCAGAAGATCAGCCTTAAGTACAGCGCGTACCTAATGGACAGAGTTGATGTAGATTCCAGCATAATAAATCTAGAGGGCCAAGGTGTTCTTGGATTATGTGACCAGCACCTGAACTATGTCTTTGGCATCCCATGTGGAAATTCAGTCATACAAGGTGAAGGCGTAGAGCCGTCTGAAGCATGTATTGAGTACACGCGTGTGTCTGCATCATTTAGCGAGAGAGGCACGCACAATCTTAAAGCAGCTGAGGCGTACTTAATTTGAGACATAACAGAATCATCCCCTCAAATAGAGCAGGACTGTTTCAAAATTGCTTTTGTTATTTTTGTAGTCGGTCATGTGCTTGCCCCCACTGCTAAGCACGATTACATATCCATAGACTTCTGGGCTGCACTGAGTGATATCAGCAAGATAAAGGATTGGAATTGGGGAGGATATGTACTCAAGAATCTGTTCCAAGCTGTTAAGAAGTTCAAGGCAGATGTGTCCAAGAGAAACCCAACCGTCCACATAGTTGGTTGTCATCTGTTCCTGCAGGTATTTTCATGAAGTACATTTTTGCACATTCACATTATTCAGAATCGGCATGCTAATTTTTTTTTGCTTACTGGTGTTTGTATCACATCTTTTCGTACTAGACAGCCTTGATCTCGGTGTTCTAAACATGCTGCGAGACATGACGCCGCGGATAGGTCTGTACGACTACGATTTGATGAAGAAGATGGTGGACAAAATTACAGTTAATGTTGGCGCCGGTGAAGTTTCCTACCACGGTGCAACGGTAATCACTCCCCCACACAAGTGCTAAATATATTTTCAGTTTGCACATGCAATTATTTGTCATCCATGTCATGCAATGACCATCTTCGCAACTCAACAGGTACGGACCGAGCTGTCAGTGAGCAATCTTATTAGCTTCCCTTCTAAGGAAACTTTCACAGCGAAAGCAGCAAAGCCGGCGCCCAGAAGGGCAAATGCCACATACGCGCCGATGTTGCGAAGTAGTTATACCAAAACCGGGCCGCAGGAGTTTTCAAATTACATACGAACATGGTACCCAAGCATTGTAAGTCACTTCTATTCAGTTAAGAAAGCATCCACACATTTTGTAGCATCAACTTGTCACCCCTCGCATCTAACCCCATTTTTTATGTGTAACATATAGTCAGCGGAGAAGCTTGGTATACTTCTGCGGGAGCAGAACGCCCGTGGCCTAGCAAGCATATCAGAAATGCGTCAAGTGTTCCAGTCCAATATGTTTACTTTCACAGACAAGCTTATGGCATGCTTAGCAGATAGTTGCACTTGTTGCAAGGCACATGGGAACAAAAAGTGCATCTTGGAAAAGGACGGCACAAACACTTGTGATGCACCGCCTCATGTACCAACTGACCAAACTCAATTCAGCACCCCATTAGTCAGCAAGATAGGTCCTCGACTACCACCACCAGGCAACCCTGCAGGTAAACAATCCATCATGCTTACGTTTTCAACATTGAAATGCATATAAACGATTATCCAATCTCACACTACTCATTCTCCCTTGGCAGGTTGCCTATCTGCCAATAGTTCCGCGTCTAGGAAAAGGGATGGAAGTTTATCATCAAGCGTACAGTCGGGCACAGCAAAGAAAACATGTTCACGTGAGGCGCAGAACGTCCTCGCCGCAACACCAACATATGGGCAAGAACCACTCAACCAAATTGCCATATCCCAGGATGCAAGCCTCAATGAAATTGCAAGCAAGATCGTTGCATTTTACGACAACCTTACAGCCATCTTGGTTACTTACTATGCTGAGATGCGGCCAGCCCCCGGGTTCATATTGTTTGGATCAACCACCGATAGAGCACATGTGAAGATCGATCTACCTCAATGCAATTTTGGAAGAGATCCGTGGGTAGCTGGATCAGTCCCAGTACCACCAAATCCAACTGTACTCAGGGCCATAAGAGACTGGATGACTGCAGCCTCGATGCTAAACCTTGAGAGGCAAGAACGCATCCCCTGTGCATTAAAGATTTTACTGAATGCTCACAAGAATTTTTCGTCTTCTCATTTAGTAACTGCATCTTTCCAATCAAATCGCTGCAGGAAATGGATCATGCATCCTAAGCCAAGACTCATAGCATTAGAGGGGGTTGAAATCCAACGTCAACTTGCATCTAACGATGCAATGACCCATGAGATGGCTACAGCTATTTTCCGCAGGCTTGGCCAGATTGACTCGTTTTTCTCAAAGGACACTCCTGGACTGATATGGAGGAAATTCCTCGAGCCTGACTTTGCTGTGAGTATTTCCAGCACCTCCCCTTAATTCTCCACCCTTTTCTGTCTTGATGACAACCCCCCAAACCGCATATGTGCAGACAACTGTTTTGGCGAATGCCGACCCATTGACTGTACACTCAATCAGGGGTAGCTTCCAAGAAGGAACAGCATCCTGCAATCCAGCTTCGTGCCGAATGGTAGGTGTTTTTAGCAGAGCTAGTGTCAATTTTTACGATTCCAACTCACTGATATGCCTATATATATGCAGTGGTACATCCCGACGATACTACCTGATTGTTGGACTGTATATGCATTTGATATGCTGCGGAAAAGAATCATCGTATTCGACCCAACAATTGGGCCATTTGGGTATAGCAATCGGCGAGTCAGCATGCATGAATTTGTTAGCAACAAACTGCATGCCGCGTTGTTCACATGCCTCCAGAATTTCTTCAGCTCTTGGCATTGTGAATCAAGCCACTGGGGGCGCACTTTTCCGATCATAATGAGGGAAAACATTGAGAAGTATGCACTTTGACTGTCGACCACCCGACCTTCATAATTAACAGATATATTTGACTGATTCTTTTAACTGTTATTATTGTCTTCTTCGTCCCTCCGAAATGCAGAGAGCAGACCGGGCTGTGCGCCACCTTTTTTGCATGGAATTATGACGGCGACAAACTGCAGACACCACTGAACAAAGTATGTTTCTAATAGGTCATACCGTATGGAAACTGCATGCTTGTTTTTTTTTGCTAATTCACACCATCTCTTCCTCTAGGACATGCTCGCATCACATAGCAGCTTGATGATCTACGAACTAATGAGGATGCAAGGTAACCAAACTCCAGTGGAAAACGACGCCCTTGAAGCTGTCAAAGGATCGTTCATTGCTCTTTAGAAAAACTTACCTTTCTTTGAACGTCCCTAACTATTGGAAAAACCTCTCTATCTGGTTTGTAACAATCATTTAGGACAGACCTGGACCAAAACTATGTCTGATTATCGACTCCCTCGTATTGTATCAGATGCGAATCTTTTTTAGCATGGCTGGTAGAAGCAGGAGTTCATATGCAACTATTATGCAATATATTAGAAGTTCATACATATTAGAGGTACAAGATAAACATCTTAGGAGACAAGCAATGGCAACTGCTCTACTACATCTGCTAGGGTTACAATTATCACATCTGGAGCACAATCTTTCACATCTAGAACACAAGGCTTACACCTACTTGTGGATGCAGTTACAAGATTGTTGCTCCTAACCATAGAAGCACTTGTAACAGAATGCTGCCAGCAGCACGAACATTGCAAATGCCTTCACGTAGCCAGATCCTTGATTTAGAGCTAAATTATCTGTAGGAGCAGGAGCAACTTCTAGCTGGGGAGTTTGGTGTTGTGGCACTGCACTTGCTGCATCACGCAACTCTGAGCTGATCCTCTCTAACTGACGCACCCTGTCGCGGAGATCAATGATGAGTTGTTTGAGGAATGGTTCCTCAATTGGATCGTCATGCCACTCGTACATTTCACAACCTCCCATCTGACGGGAGTTGAGCACAAAAAAATGTCAGTGGGGAAGAACCAAGAATCAGCCAAGGCAGCAACCAAAAACGACAGTTATCAGGACACATACCCGTGACTTGGCGCATGTCTTGTATCTTCTCCCAGGGTTATCGTCGCTCCAGGAGATCCACATGGCAGCCTTGGGTTTCTCCTTGCACCAGCATGGCGTCGCAGGTTCATAGTCCAGTGGACCCACCCTGTATCTCACCGGTGACCTGCTTGGGGAGGCCCAACGCCTCTGGGATGAAGAAGCACACCTTGAGCTCGAAGAGAATGACGAAGACATTTGTTGGGGAGGATTTGATGCTGGTGGAGTGAAGCCCAACGGAGTGTAGGCAGCATGCTGTATATATAGCCAAGGGCTCCCACCAACGGTCACTTTTTGAAAGGAGTGGTGGGCAACGGCTCTCACCTGTGTTTTTCTAATTGTTTTGCATGGCAGGCCCGTCACGTGCCAATGGCACTCTTGCCAGCTTCCACGGTAATTCACGGATAGTAATGTTAACATTTTCAAACCGCATAATTGCAGGCACGCTAAAACTTTGGCACACATCATTCTTAACAAACACTTGCTAGTCATAGGTTTCAATGGCTGGTACAGTTCCATGCCAAAATACTTATAGAATTACTAGGTTCAACACACGACACAGTGCAAAGCACATGACACAATGCATGGGCTTACAGAACTGTCAACAAGACAGTTACAAAAAGGGCAGAACAATTGATCCTCACGCTAGAGAATAAAACATGTCCTTGCCAGAAGCAGCTCCAAAAGCGCGACACGTCGACAGCAAGGAGTCCAGCGTTCTACTCCTCCTCCTCCACTTCCTCCATGAATCCTGGGTGATCAGCCGTGTTGCCCGAACAGGCTAGTGTCTCATAGAGCATCCTCCTTCGACGCAGTGGAAGACCAACCTTTGGCACCACACGCGAGCAAAACGGTCAGTTGATAATTTTTTTCATTATGAGCACTAATGCATCTACACAAAAAGGTTACGTAGGTAGTTGGAATCTTACATGCGGAACGGGTTCCTCCAACTCATAAGCGTTGAAGTTGTCAGCATAGTATGCAATGTAGCCAGGCGATTCACCGCTGCAAATCACAATACGATGAGGAAGTTGGTTAGCATCACACCTAGCAATAAAAAGCGTGAAATGATGTACACGTGCACCCACCTGCCGCAAGCTATGTGCATATCAATGTTGTACCGAACAGTCCATTTGGAGATATCCATGTCCCAGCCATCCAACAATAAGGTGCCCAGGATTTTGAGTCCTTTAAGCAGCATGTGAACTGTTGACCCATGCTTCGACTCGTACACTGGGGATCCCACCTGTGTGTAGAATGGGTCCATCACCGTGACCCTGGTCAGCTCCATGTCGAAGGCGTACAGGGACCAATCGTGAGCAAGCCACACAGGGATCAAGATCTGCAGTGCATGCACGCAGTTTTAGTGTTCCAGCCATATAGAAGAAATGAAGATGCCGGTAGAAACGTAGGATTGTACGTACCAGACGGCACATGCATAGTGGGAAACCAAGCTTGGGCGTCGAAAGCAACCCAATGAGCACAACGCGCGCGTGCTCAGTATCAATATTTTCCATATGGAGCTGCAAAAAATACATGCACGCAAATCTATTAGTTTGAATCACCATTCACTCGCAGTCCATATCATTTTTTCTGCATGGGCTGAACTTACCGAAACATCAGGTGGTAGTAATCCTCTCCAGTTTGGGAGATCAACTCTCTGCATCATGCTCCTCTCCCTGTCGTTCCATCCACGCACCCATGCATTAAGGCCTGTGTACATCATCTCACCATGCAAGCTGAATTGGTACTTCATCTTATGCCCATCCAGCCTGAGCACCGTGGGGTTGTGATGCTCGAACCAAGTTCTATTTAAGGACAAGAATTACTCACACGGTTAGCAGCAACCAAGTTCACACTTTCAATATGCAGACGTGCAATCATTGGAAACAAACGCACCTGCTGAGCTCAGACGGCTCAGTGAGGAGTGCAACGTTCTCATACAAATCAACACATACATGGTTTGGGTAAAAAATGCTGTAGATCCAGCTCAAATGGAGAGTAGCCGTAATCACGTGCAGGTGGCAAAGCTGGAACAACCGCTACAAGCACGTCAACACACATACGTTAGCTAGACGACTTTTAAATTGTTTGAACAAGTCAACCACATGTTTGCACTAACCAAGAGGGGCCGGCTTGCTTTGTTCCCCTACATGAGGCAGTGCCAACCTCCTGTTCCCTATTGGCGTGGTCGTGGCAATTCCTGCAGCCTGGTCATTTTGTAGCTGCAATGCATCCGGCACAACAGTTGCACAGATCAAAGAAGGATGAAGCTCTCATCATAAGCGAGGCACTTTTTTGTCAGCGTCGAGGATTTAACTCATCGGGTTAACAACATTACCTTCAGTCATATCAGTGTCAACAGGCGCCACCATCGGATGAAGCTCTCTAGAGGAAGAACCTCCCACTCCCAGCACCTCATGCATGGTGGTCTGTCTAGTGCACCTACGGTACACCACTGTTTTCAAGATGGGCAAGGCACCCATGTGAGCGCATGCAAGCTATCTGATCATCAATGCATTTTTTTAACCATGTAAAGGATATCGTCACTCACCGTCAATAGCCGGCCCCTTTCCTTTGTGGTCCACAATCATAGGCTTCTCCTCTGGTTCATCAACTGGCCCGTGGACAGCAATTTCTGCATACAAAATCAAGGCACACTCAATTTAGTTTAGTACCCTCACACAATCAAGTTAACTTCGGGATCATCAGTCATTGTCACTACCTTTCCCAAGCAAACTCACATGCACCCAAGGGCATGCGTTCAGGTCAGCTCCTTGCACCGCCGTGGTTGCAGCGGCCACACCAGGCGTTTCTGAAAAGAACAGGCAACAAAATGGTGATCAGATTTTTTGTGGCCAACCAATGCTTTTTTGGAAAACTATTTGGTTTTTGTTTCGAGGGGTACTACGCACCTGGTTGGACACGTATGGCCTCTTTAACAACAACCACTGACATCAAAGACCTCGCAGCTTCGCGTGAAGTTTCAGCCAGATCTTGGGCAACATCTAAGCAATAAACAAGAACAAAATCAGCATGACAATCAAATGACAATCAGTATTGTTTCGCATGGCTTTCGAACAATCAACCAAAAACACAACCCCACAGCGACCTAGGGTCCATGGCTCACGCACACCATGCATGGATGGCCCACGTATGTCATGCATGCAGGAGTAAACAAACCCGTGCGTAGCGCTCGCCCATGCATGCATGCTCTCCCCGTGCGCATCAACACACTACCCAATTAACACAATTTAACAGTTGCGTTTTTTGATGGCTTGGGATAAAGATCACATGTCCTCGTCCTTGGACGATGCGAACTCTTGCTCACGTTAGGAGATGCTGCTGCCATTGGAGCTTGTCTCTTCACCCGCTCCATGAAATCATCAAGTGTGTCCTCGAGGTCTCTATGCCGTTTAGCATCCGCCTTGTTCTTGATTTCTTCAAGCACTTTGCCCTGCGTCTCCTCCACCATCTTGAGGAATTCCTCCTCCCGCTGCTTCAGTCGATGATGCACTGCCTCCTCCATCGCATCAAGAATCTACGACAGCAGACAGCAACAAGACAACTCACTTAGTTAGTACACGAGGACAAAATAGCAAGTTGGATCACAAGCCAACAAGTTTGGATGGCTAACCTCTGCAGGTATCACTTGCTCATGGGCCACACCAAATCCAGGGGGAGCAGCATGCACACTAGAACTTGGCGTGGTCCAGCCTTGTGCTTGAGCTGGGCTAGCAGAAACGACATTAAATGCCGGCAATCTAGGAACATCCGCGGCCTGCAAGGGAATAATCGAACTGGATCTTAGCAACCACACTACATTTATTGAAGTATCATTTAAGAAGAGAAATGTACCTCAAACCCAGCGTCCACACCATTCCTTGTTGCATGCTTTTTGATCTGCAGTTTCATCATCAAATCCGAGTATGATGCTAGACGAGGGAACGGCAGCGCCTCTCGCCCCTCCATCCCGTGCTCATTGTAATCGCAGAAAATAATCTATGTTCATTCCGACAAACAAAACAGAAATGCATCAGCTAGATTGTTCAGAAACAAACATATTTGCAATATTGAACGGAGAAGCATCTCGCTAACCTGTGGGACAACAAGGCAGCCCTGCAGAGAGAGCTGAGTTGGGTCGTGCAGTAGATCCTCCCTCAGCTTGGCCGCACCCTCTCTCAGTCCCTCCACGACATAATCGCAAAAGTCATAGTCAGAGATTTGGTTTGGCTCAGCTAGCACCGGCAGCAGTTCATTTGCAATTTTTGGGTGTGCTCCCCTGGGTAGGAGAAACGACGACGCGGCTATGATTGTACATGCCACCATCATCTTCTCTCTCTCTGCTCCTACTATCGCCACCTTGCTTGCGTTTTGGATGATTTTCTTAACTCTGACCACAAGGATCTTACAGGTGCGAGACATGTTTGTCTCTAATCTCACATGCAAGTTCTCTAGCAAGCGTTCCCGGTCTGCTAAGCAAGCGCCGCCCGGGATATCTATCTTCCTACCACATGGATTCAACCCTATGCACTTTGCCACCTCCCTAGAGTCTATCACAACGTGATTGCCATCACCCATGTCCATCTTCATGGTTTTGGGATCGATCCTAGCTAAGAGGGACATGCTAAAGATACGGTTGTTGTTCCCCATATCCTTTATCTTGCAGATTTCTTCCATGCCTATGCCGAAGAACACACCTTTGATGTTTGGACTCCATTCTCCGGCGATGGAATGGAGCAGCCCGGCATTGTACGCCGTGTTCAGTGCAGGCACCTTCTTGGCGGCCAGCATGGTCGACGAAGAAGCTCCATCTGGCGCAGCTGGAGGCGAGGAGAGCTTCGGGCGGCGCCCCTTCTCTACCAGAAGACTGCAATAATGGCACACAAACAAGAAAGAGGAGCAAGTGAGATTTTTGAGAGAATGGATCAGGTGAAGGGAGGAGAAAACCGAGAAGCCATGGAAGGACTAGTACAAACCTTTGCTTCCTCTCCTTCCGTCCAAACGCCAGATGCAGTGGTGCCTCGCCTCTGTGCTACCACTCTTGGGCACAGGGAGCACGTTTTATACACATGCGCCAGTACGAGGCGACAGTGTGCTCACCTCCACACCCTGACCAAGTGGCTACAAAATGTTCCACGTATGCCTATTGGAAGCACCACACTTCTATCGTCCGTTTATCTCGTTTTTTAGATTTGTTTAGGAAGTCGCAGAACACCAAGCAAAACGTTTAATCAAGCACATATCTATTGTTGAGCAAAAAATAATGGACACAAATAAAAATCATCAGGCAAAGCAACGACCAGATTTTTTCGGGTGCACTAGACATACGGACAACAGATGGAACTACAAATACAAGTGGCGATCACCACCACTAATGGCCTCACGTACATTTAGTTAACTGTCTAAGCAGAACATGCGACCTCAAGCTGTTTCATGGATTAACCTAATACATTATCTCATGGTCCAAGTACATTTAGTTAACTGTCTAAGCAGCACATGTCATATCTTTGGACGCTTGCATGGAGGACTCTCAGCGTCATCTTCCTCGCACCTAGGTTCAGCAGCCCACGTCCCTGATAGGTGATCCCCATCCAACAGCTCGCATGCACCCACCGGCCCCGCATGCCCCATGCAGGGGTCGAAATCTGCTGTCTCTTCCTCCAGCCACCAGAGCGGGATCTCCATGTCCAGATCAGCCTGGGAACAGAGATTTTGATCCTGGTGGATTAGAACAAATGCAAACGCTTGCACAATTGCTGTAGGAAAAGCTAAGGAAAACCCACATTCTCAAATGATGCACCACCGGAAACAACCTCTTCTTCGCCCCCCGCGCCTTGTGCCATCACACTAGCCTATGCGTGTCAATGCATGATTGTTGTGAGACAGGGGGACATAAGAAAAATGCACTGAAATTATGGTAAAGATCAATGACCTCGTCAACCAGACTGTCAACTACAGACGAAGGATCAGGGAAAACGAGAGCATCCAAACCTACAGCGTCACTAACCACCTGCGAAGAAGTAGTAAAGTGCAGTAGATGACTCGTTTGCCATGCATGCATGATCAAGTGTAAGTAAAGTGTAGTAGATGACTCGTTTGCCATGCTAACCTCCAAGGTGACGTTGCTAACCTGCACCCTGCCTGCTGTCAAGGTGGAGCCAGATGTTTCGGTCAGCTCTGAAGCTGGCGAAACTGTGCTGCTGGGCGCCATCTCTACTCTCGTTTGGATGGATTTCCACCCCGGTGCGCCACGTACTTATATAGATAGCGAAAATTTTCGTTTTCCCTCCCAAGTAACCACATTCAAATTTTGAACCAACTTGGTGGGATGGGAGCCAAAGTTTCAGTTTTGAATTGTGTGGATCGAAAGCACACACGCGACGCCTAGCCTTTCTCTCCCCTATCGTCCATGTCTCTCTATGCGCGTTAATGCGGGAACAGATGGACGGCGCATTGTACCTGTGCACACATCTTGTCACCAACTGCCGGGCGTCCTGCAGCGAGAAAAGGAGCGTCATGATGCCCAGCATGAAAAGATTTCGGGAGCAGTGCTTCCATCACCTGTCAATTCATACAGCCAATGGCATGCATCTCCTATGCATGGACACCGCTCCCCTCCCCCAACGCCTCCATGCCATCCATGAAAACAGGCAAACTAGCCGATCAACGCAAACGCACAGCACGGTGGCAAGTGACTAACCCCTATTTTTTAGCAGTAAGTATTTTTTTTTCTATCGCTCATTGGAAAATAAAAAAAGCTTACCATATCTTACTGATTGTGTTTTTGCAAACGAAAAACACAGGCTGATGCCACGGCCAGCCAAATTCATCGCATGCCATACCTGTTCTTGTAGTTAGCAATTCCCCAATGGAGAGAGGGCGCGGCCATTCAATGCATGTACCATTCGCCAGGCTCATCTGTGTCCGTCAGAACAGGTGTGCTCACCCGGGAGTCACGCTGTAATGGATGGGCCTAGTCAAAGCTAGGATAGTGGCCCTGTCAATCCGGAGTTCACCCACGCACGTCTGCTTGCTTACCTGTCAGGATTCCTGGTCATGTACACATGGAAGCCATAAATTAGCGAGATCAGAATTATTGGAACTATTTTTGTTTGGGATTCAGAGTTAGGTACACATGGGAGCCATAGATCACCGAGATCAGTATTCTTTGAACTGTTTCTCGTTACATGAGGCCGACCAAAGGACACAATCAAACACAACCAAAAGGCAAGCTCAACCAGCCATCATGATGGGTAAGTTTTAGCTTAGTGTCTCAAATGAAACCAACACTAGCATGAAAAAATAAGCAACGTCTCAAATGAAACTAACACAATAGTGATCATAACAGACCAAATAAAACAGTTTTAATTGTCAACCGAGTGCAAATGACACAATGATGATTGCACAATAAGACAGTCCTGACAAAGAAACAGCACGACTTATGAATTCAGTTCCTTAGAGAAAGTTCGGTTCAAAAGGTCCAGATTTCCTCGTGCCACAGTTATTGCGTCGATGCCCAAGCACACCACAATTTGTACACTTCGGCAATTTCCTCGGCATTTTCGGCACGTCGCCTCTTTCTGGGCAAGTTGTGCACTTGTGACCTTGCCCCCTGCAAATCGTGCAAAACCTTGATCTTTTCAACTGTTGCTCGTAAGGAGCTTTGTCCCGGCTAGTTGTAGGTCTGCCTCTCGGGCGCTTATTCTGCTGCCCAGCTATCCCTGAACAGCTTGATTCACCATCACAAGCAGGCTTGGTGCTGCCCCCTTGGATCTGAAGCGTCTCTGCCTGTTTCTGAACTAAAACCTGATTTTGTTGCTCCCTCTCTGCTAGCCCCATCCCGTCCTTCTCGGCGCTTAATGGCAACAGAGTGGCTTGCACCTCCTTCATCATGGTCATGAAAACATCATAGCACCTAACATTGCTATCGCCAAGCAGCACGCATTCTAGTGCCTTCGTGTACATTGTGTGATGTCTGAATGTATCACTTGAAGGAGGCCCTCTGTCTTTATTGTACCTGACCAAATGTGCAGGAAAAACATCATTTGCGTCTCTTGTCCAGTGTTTCATTATATGCTTATCTGGTATCTTCGACAGGCGGAAGAGGATCATAACCTGCACGCAAAAAACAGTAAATTGTTCTCATTCCACTAGTTTTTGTTTCGAAACCAACATGTATTTTCACTATCGAGAACAAATAGCCTATTCGTAAGATGCAAATGTTCACTTGCAATGCATGGCAACAAACCAAACCAGAGTGTTCAAACATGCCGCACTCACAGCTGAAAAAACTCGCTTCATCATCCACTTGGATCGTGAACTCAACCTTACTCCATTTCTCTCTGGCTGCAGCATCTACATGTGTTGATTTGTAAACCTTCTTCGCTACAATCTCATCCAATACATGTGCACCACACTTGTATAGTTCTTCACCAAACTTCTCGAACATAGCTCTGGTGTACACCTTGCTAGCATGCCTCTCTATCGGTAGGTTAAGTCTAAGTGACACACCACTCTGCAAACAAAATAACCACACATTAGTAATTGGCACCAGCTCTATCAGACAATTTATAGCATGCACAATTGTTGAAGCAAATGCAGAGGATGAAAAATTACCAGCAATGTTCTCTTCTCCTGGAAGCTCTGCTCTGACTCCCGGTCAAACTGGAGTTTCTCAAATTGTCTCAAAAACAGGTGCATAGGACACCCTGGCGGCACATACCCCTTCAACATGTGATTGGCGCTCTCACTCCGCTGTGTGCTAGTCATTTTTGCACAGAACACTCCTCTAAAATATGGCTTTGCCCACTTATGGCGCACCTCATATATGTGCGTCAAGAATGGATGCTTCTTCAAGGAATACTTTTCCAGCATCTGCTGCCAACCAGCTTTGAATTCTTCCTCCATGATCATGTGGTGTACTAGCTTGTGGAATTCCAATTTAAAGTCACTGTTCTTGCTCCACAGCACACCCATCGACTCCTTTGCCTTCTTCAAAACATGCCATTTGCACCAGCGGTGCACTGTGTTGGGTAGTTCTGCCTCTATAGCCAGCTCCATCGCTCGTGCCTGATCTGCATTATTTCATCGATGGCACACATTCTATTGGTTAGAACTTTTTTTCCTATATAAAAATAACAGATGCATGCATAAGATGGTAAACAACAGAGCTTGACGGGGGTACTAACCAGTAAGGATTGTCTGTGGGTGTTTCCCGCCAACCATACGGATTAACTCTTTAAATATCCACTTGAATGTGTCCTCTTTCTCGTCTCTCATCATGGCACCACCAAAAATTATGCTTTGGAAGTGGTTGTTTACACCAACGAACAGTCCAAATGGCATGTCGTAAAGATTAGTGCGGTAAGTTGTATCAAATGTGATTGCATCCCCAAAACACCTGTAATGGTCAAACCCTCTGCTTGTTACCCACATCAGTGTTTTTACCCTGCTCTCATCATCCACTTGTACTGTGTAATTGAAGTCAGGATCATTAGCCTTCATTTCAGCTAGAATCGCCATCGTCTTGACTGCATCCTCCTCAGATTGCTCTTTGTTCAGCTTCCGACAAAGAGTCTTCAAACACCTCTTCGTAAATGGCACATTATCAACTGTCCCAAAAAAACTGCCAACAATGCTGAACACTTTCCCAAGACCAACATTGTTATCTCTCAGCTGTTTCACCAGGTCCTTTGTGTATCTGTCTATATGCTCATGCGACTTCCAGTGCATTTTCTGTCCACATGTCAACGACAACGGGTGGTTATGGTCATCTTTGTGTTCTGCTATGTACCACCCCTTGTCATTTGACCGCAGCAGCCTGATCATAGCATTGCATCCGCATCTGGCCGAGCGGCTGTTTTCCCTCAATGGTTTCCCCTGCAAGGTTAAAACGGACAGTAGAAAATGTCATCAGTCTATCTATCACGACATAACAATCAGTCACCCAATGATGCGAATACTTTGACAGTTGTTCAATTAACATACCGCACAAGCACACACAATCTCTTGCATGCATCTCTTCCTTTCAACATTCAATCTGCTCTTGGCAAGTCTAACACCAAATCCGCACTCCCAGGAATACAGATTATAGAATTCATAAGCTTCGTCCAAGGAGTCAAAGCTTGTACCAATGCTTGGGTACACAACAGGTCCATCCCTCTTCTCTGTATAAGCGCGGACAGACAATTCCAGAGCTGAAATCCTGTTTGGATTCATCTCCCTTTCCTCGGGAGCTTTACCCACCCTGACCCTGCATAACCATCTCGGCAGGAGATGACACACAAGAAAACAACTAATTAAAACCATTGCCTTTTGGAAGTACATTAATAGTCACATAAAAGATCTAAGCAGGAGACTAGTGCGTGTATAATATTCGGCACAGGCAGTCTCAAGTTCCTCGACCGTCAACAGAAAAGCTCCAAGCATCATACAGACTAACAAGCTGTCGTAAAATAATCAACTACGTAGCCCAATAAAAACTCACAAGAATAAGATGACCAATTCCTCAAACTAATCAATCGTCAAAAGCTTTCAGGAATCAAAATCCCAATGGTTCATGTACAAAATCGGTTTACGAAACCTCACAGTTCTCTCTTCTAGTTTCTCAGCCATCGACAGACCAGCTCCCAGCATCATCTAGACTAATAACCTGAGATCTATATAAAAATAATCAACTACGTAATCCAATACAGCTTGGAGTAATCAGCAGAACAAATTCTCAAACTAAACAACCATCGAAAACTCCCAGGAACCAAAAACAAAAGACTGATGAACAAATTCAGTATATGAAACCCACTAGTTCACTTACAATAATCAGGTGCTTGGGAATCTAACAAATACGGAGAGAAACTACATCTAAATAAATTATGAATCCTTCATGAACCCCAACGACAACAGATATATCTATGAATAATATGACCAAGTCCTTTAACTAATCAATCGTCAATAGCTTCCAGGAATCAAAATCCCCATGGTTCATGTACAAATTCAGTTTAGGAAACCCCATAGTTCTCTCTTCCAGGAATCAAAATCCCCATGGTTCATGTACAAATTCAGTTTAGGAAACCCCATAGTTCTCTCTTCCAGTTTCTCAACCATCAACAGACCAGCTCCCAGCATCGTCTAGACTGATAAGCTGAGATCCACAATGCTCCCAACCACGTAATCCAATACAGCTAGCAGTAATCAGCATAACAAATTCTCAAACTAAACAACCGTCAAAAACTTCAAGGAACCAAATCCCAAAGCCTCATAAACAACCAACTGCTTTCTGTAACTAAGGACGTGCCTAGGGTAGAGATCTAAGATTGCAAAACAAGAGACAAAGAAAAAAAGAGGGGATTGATTTTCACTGACCTGCGCGTCCAGCCGCTGGTGGCTTCAGAGCACACCTCGCCCACCACTGCATCCACATGCGGCCGAGCACAACCGGCGGCAGCGAACACGTCGTTTGGGACGCTCATGGAATCCTGGGACTCCAATGGCAAGACGGAAGTGCTCCTCGCACCGGACGCAGCAGAAATCCTATGAATTGACGGAGTGGCCAACTCGGTGAGAAATCCCCCAAATCTGTGCCGGTTAGTAGCAAAGACGGTTGGTCGGAGGGAGAACAAAACGTACCCATTAATCTCGACACCATTGGTAGACATCTCGCCGGCGCCGGAACAGCACGGCCGCCGCTGTTAGACGAACTGATGCAGATTGGAATGGAGAAGACGACCCGCTGCGTGGCTGTGGTTTATCCCACGCCACCCAACCCAGCTGCGCGAGGGGGTGTGCCTGACAAGATTCTCTCACATGTGCTGTTTCGAAGGACCTAAAATGGGCCCTAACCTTGGTCCAAGCCAACGACGCGCGGGGACAGACGCTTTGGATGGGCCGCACACAATACGCCTACATATCCACTAGCCGTATCGCGGGCTGTATTTCAGTCCATAGGCCTGCCACGCACTGACTGGGGTGCACATCCCAAGGCCCAAACCAACGCCCACGATACCGGCCTGCCTGTGGCTCGGCCTCTGAAAATCCGCACTCCTAGAAACACCAACTAGCCATGAACAGACGCCACAACTGGCTGGCTAAAACTAGGTAGGTAAACTAAATGCCTATCCTATTACATGACTGCCATCCAAACCGGTTGAAGATATCCCGAGCTACCATCTCCCAGCGGAAAGATCCAGTAACCAAATGCTCTCTGGCCTCCGTCGGGGTGAGTAGCGACCACGAACGGATCAATGCCATAGTTCGGAATATAACCTGCAAAAATTGGATACATGATATTCTGTTAAAAACCAAATCATTTCTGCAAGTCCCGATAGTCCACAACAAAGCGCAAACTCCAACCCGAATGTGTCTCGCTAATTCGGGCTCAATCCCATTAAGCCATGTCCCAAATAACGCGTTAACAGAATTTGGTTGATTGATATTAAAAGCAATCTGGACCGTCTGCCAAAGCACTTTGGCCAACGGGCAATCAAAAAAAAGTGCTTGATTGTCTCATTCCGATCACAGAAACTACACCTAGTAGGTCCTTTCCAATTATGCTTTATCAAGTTGTCCTTTGTTAAAATAACTTGTTTATGCACAAACCACATAAACACTTTTATTTTCAAAGGAACCTTGACATCCCAAACATGCTTGGAGGTAGGAATGGAGTTCGAATTAATAACATCAATATACATTGATTTAACAGTGAATACTCTAGACTTAGTCAATTTCTAGCGTAATTCATCGGGTTGTTGAGAAATCTGGACCTCCATCAGTCTCCTAACTAGACGGAGCCATTCTTCCCAACGATTGCCCGCTAGCGTCCGCCGAAACCGAATATTAAGGGGGATAGATTGAAATACCAATGCGACGAAGACCTCTCGTCGTTGAACGATACAGTACAAAGACGGATATTGAATGGCCAAAGGTGTCTCACCGAGCCAAGTATCCTTGTACTTTGCTTAATAATTAATAAGATTGGTTGTGTGCATCATAATGATGCTGAGGCTGGGGTTTGAGCTTCCTTTTCAAGAGAAAAATGTAACGTAAATAGAGAAAAGGAGGCATTTGTGTTTGGTGCAACCATGCAAGGGAATCCAGTTTGCGAGAGTTTCTAATCGAGCCGGCGTATATTGAGTCTCCAAATAACCGGAGAGGATCGATCTACAAAGGAGCATTGAACTCCAGGCTAAATCACGGCCTTGACATCAAGCGGCAATGAGTTAAGGCCGATCGTCTAGGCGAACAGAATCAATTCGGTAGCTAGCTAGCCAATAGGGCCTGGAGAATTATTTCACCGTCGCGTGAAGAAGACATGTTGATCTACCAGAGTTCCATACATAGTAGCCATTCATAGTCAGCAAAGT